CTTATGCTTGTGAGGCAGGCGGCAGCAACACGGAGCTAAATTCCTGGCCCTGTACTTGTAATCTTATTGGTTGCTCATGGTTTTGTCCCACCTCATCACCATCTTGTAAATTTCCACTGGGTCTTATAATTTTATCTCACTTTGTACCTGCCTCACCACACAGCTTTGCTGTATAAAACATCCTTGAAAAGTGGGGTGAGCAGGCAACCCATCTTCCAGTCCCCTATTCATCTTAGAAGCTTTCTTTCTCTCAATAAATTTTTCCAACTCTTAACCTCTGTTGTTCCTAGAATTCATTCTTCCATTTTAGAAAACAAAAAATTGCATTTCAGGTATGTAGTATGTTTGGGATTTACATCTCCCCCTGAGTCAGTGAAACTGGTACAACCACTGTGAAAATTTGGAGATTCCTCAAAAAACTAGGATTAGCAGTCCCATTTGACCCAGCTAATCCCCTGCTGAGTATCTTCCCAAAATAATTAAAAGCATCATTCATACTACAGCAATATATATGCACCCATGTTTATAGCAGCAGTTTGTAATAGCAAAATCTTGGAAACAAACCAAATATCCATCAATTGCTAACTGGATAAAGGTATGGTGTGTGTGTGTGTGTGTGTGTGTGTGTGTGTGTGTGTGTGTGTGTGTGTGTGTATACAGTGCTACTCAGCCATAAGAAATGATAAACTACAGACATTTATAGCTAAATGGATGCACATTAAGGCTATATGTTTAAGTGAAATAAATAGGACACACATGTGTAAACTACTTGTTTCTCTGGTGTGAGAAACAAAGTGTAAATGAGGACCAAAATGTGTAATAATGTGAAATAGGAAGGAAAGGTTCAAAGTGGAAGGGGAAGTAGGAAGGTGGAATAGGAAAAAGGAAAGTAGGAAAAAAATACAAGAGAAGGAAAAAACAGAAACAAAGCTTTTGTAAATAGGAGTGCAGGGGTGAAAGGGAAAAGGAATGTGAAAAAACAAGAACCAAGATATATCATATACAGGTACAAATCGCCAGTGATGAATGTGATCATAATGTATATCTAAATGAACAGATTAAAGCAGATACTTTATTCATCAACAGCCCAAGGATTAAAAAGTTGCAGGCAAATCACAAAAAAAGAAAGACAGAAAAGAAAACCAAAGTTAGGGACCCCAGCAAAGCAGAGGTGGGAAAAGAAGTGAGTGGCAATCAATGGCTTGACAGAAAAGCTCATGTGAGATTTAAACGACCTCGGGAGGCTGTCATTTGACCTTGCAGGGGAGACTGAAGGGGACTCCAGCAGCCTTGGGCTTTATTGGCAGTGGCACATGCACCTCCTACTCTGTAACAATCAGCTAGACAGGATAGAGAAGTGCCAGCGGGGGTGAAAAGACTGAGTGAAACCAACTTTACATGGGACTGGCAGCAGTCCCAGGCTATCCCTGCCTGAAGGCACACAGCAACTCTCAGTAAAGAGCCTTGAGCAGGCTGGCAAGAGAAATCCAAAAAGCTGCTGGCTGAAGATTGGCCCCAGCTCCCACAAGGTCAGTCCCATGCCCAGCACTATTCCTACTGCACACTTGGCAGGGTTGCATGACACAGTTTTGGGACACAACCTGCTTTGGACACTACCACAGAACTGTGAATTCTGGAAGAATTTTTTTTAATTGTTTTCATTTCCTTTTCCTGTCCGGATGGATTTTTTTTCATTGTTTAGGTTTTTACTTTGATACTTACCCAGTTCTGCTCATCTTCCTTTTCTCTTTCACTACCTCTCTTGATTTTATATCTTCATGTGAGTGAAAACTGTCTTGTATTTCTGGGTTACTTCAATATTCTTTTGCTTTATCCTTCGTACTTTCACTCCTGCCCTCTTCAGTTTCCTAAAGCCTGGATGGCCATCTACTGTCCTCCAGCCTTACCTCTACTACATTTCTTCATTTATCTTCTTCATTTATGTTTTGCCCCCTATCCCTCTTAAATTTCCCTCCACCTGGTAAAATTACACCACTAAGGGGAAACTCACTGCATACAAGTTCCTGGTTTATGTTGGGTTGTGTTATGTAACTTTAGATCTTGCTCCTATGGTTAAAAGTACCAAATTAATAGTTACCACATTGTATCAGTTTTTAGGCTATGCTTGATGCTACTGATACAACTAACTGTACTACTTAAATCAGGATGCTAAACCTATTATAATCAGTAGTTCTCCTTTGTATGACAACATTACAATTTTCTAGGGCCATAACCATCACCATAGTCCATTACCAAAGGACTGGGTGTTGAGCCAAATAAACAGCAACTTCTGACCCTTAATAAAATGGGAAGACAGGATCTTGAGACACAAAGACCAAAACACACAAATGCCCAGAAGACATTTCTGAGGAACAGATTTCCTAGGGTAAACCTCCATACTAATGCCGTTTAAATTTATAAACATCAGCAGATAAAGTAAAACTAAAAAACAAAAACAAAAACAAAAGTGACAAGAGCTGGGTGTGGTGGCACATGCCTATAATCCTAGCATTTGGGAGGCTGAGGCAGGAGGATTGCTGTGAGTTCGAGACCAGCCTGGGCTATATAGTGAGTTCCAGGTCAGTCTCAACTACTTAGTGAGACCCTGTCTCAAAACAACAACAACAAAAAAAAAACAACAACAACAACAAAGAAAATGACAAGACACACAAGCAAAATGCAATCCCAGGCCTCCAGACCACAGGACAAGCCCAAGGGACAATGAGATAAGAAAAAATTGGAGTCTACCCACCTGAATTTTTTGAAATGATAGCAGCAGAAGTAAAATCACAGATGCATGAAATTATAGAAAAAATAATTTCACAGGCAAAAAAGGTCAAAATGAAGGACATGCTCAATGAATCTACTATAGACACAGATAAAAAAATATATACACGAGCTTAGGAAAATGATGGAAACTGTGAATATCCAATATAGAAAGGAAATGAAATTCATTAAATGAATTCAAACGACAGCTAAGAGAATAAAATTTACAGTGAAAGTATATGCAATAGATTCAACAAAGGTGAGGACACAATTTCTGACCTAGAACACAAGACTGCAGTTAAAGACCATGAAAGAAAGCTATCTTAAAAATAGCAAGGGACCATGAAAAAATAAATCCAATAGCTGAAAGATAATAAAAGAGAAACAATGTAAGTTTGATCAAAGTCAATGAAAAAGCTGGAGATAGCGCAAATGTCATTAAAGAAAAGTTCAAGGGAACCACCAGTAGGAAAACAACATGACAAGGATAACCCAATACATATCAGATATAACCATCAATGTAAATGGTCTCCATTCACCAATCAAAGAAATAGACTGGCAGAATGAATCAAGAAACAAGATCCAACAATATGCTGCATAGAAGATACATATTTAACTCAAAAAGAAATTCATAGAGTGAAAGTCAAAGGATTGAAAATAATGTTCCATGTGACAGGAACCCAGAAAAAATCGGGGGTTAGCTATTCTATTCTCAGACAATGTGAACTTCAAGCCAAGACTGATCAAGAGTCAAACAAAGTTACTATATACTTATTAAAGGAATACTTCAAAAAAAGAGATAACAATTATAAATATATATGAATCAAATATCAGTGCACCCAATTATATAAAACATATTAACAGACACGAAAAATCTACTAAACACTATAACAACTACAATTGGGGGATGGGGCCAGGGATATATCTCAGTGGCACTGTACCTGCCTGGCAAGCACAAGGTCCTGAGTTCAATTCCTGGTATCAGAGAGAAAAAAAAAAGAATGTAATGGGGGACCTTAATTCCCCACCGTCACAAATAGATCAACTAGACAAAAATTCAACAAAGACCTATCAGGACCAAACAAAATTTGAGAAAAAAATGGACTTAGTAGATGTCTACACAATGTTTCACTCCAAAATTTCAGAATACATAGTCTTCTCAGATGCACAAGAGATATTCTCCAAAATAACCACATACTAACCCAAAGAACATGCTTAGGTAAATACAAAAGAACTGAAATTATCCCACGCACATTACCTGACCATACTGCAATGTAATAGGAAATCAATGGCAAAAGAAACCACAAGAACTACATAAACACATGGAAATTATATAACACCCTTCTGAACAACCAATAAGTCACACATGAAATTAAAGGAAGATAGACAGTTTCTATAATTAAATAATAATATCAATGCAACATACTGAAACTTATGGCACACACTGAAAGCAGTCCTATGACGAAAACTTATAGCAGTGAATTCCCATATCAGAAAAACAGAGCAAGCTCAAATAAACAACCAAATGTCAAACCTTAAGTGTCTAAAAAAAGAAGAGTAAATCAAGCCCAATGCTTGGATTAAGGAAGAAATTATAAATATCAAAGCAGTAACTAAAGCAATGGAGACTAAGAAAACAACATCCAAAAAATAAATAAATGAGTTGGTTGTTTGAATAGGGGCCGGGGATTTAGCTCAGTGGTTCCACCGCCTGCCTTGCAAGCGCAGGGACCCGAGTTTGATCCCTGGTACCAGAAAAAAAAAAAAAAAGAAAGAAAGGTTAAATAGACGAACCCTTAGCCAACCTCATAAAAAAAGGAAAATACTTCAAATGCATCCAGTTAGGAACAAAAAAGGGTAAAAACACAACAGATGCCATAGAAATCCAGATGATCATCAATATCTACTTCGAGAACCTGTATTCTAATAAGATGGAAAACACACAATGGACAGACTCCTAGATACATATGAATTACCAAAGCTGAATCAAGAAGATACTAAAATTTTAAATAACCCAGTTATTGGTCACTGAAATTGAAAATTTAATTAAAAACTTACCAACAAAGAAAATCCCAGGTCCTGACAGTTTCACTGCTGAAATCTACAAGAAATTTCAAGAAGATCTGGTACCAGTTCTCCTCAAACTCTCTAATGAAATTGAAAGAGAAGCGATACTCCCAAAATCTTTCCCTTTTTTTGTCAAAATTTATGTATACATGAAGAGGCAGTTTGCAGGAAAACATGATCATAAGACTCAGGGGTTAAATCGTTTGGGTTTATTTATTTATGTTTGTGTTTGCAGCACTAGGGATCCAACCAAGGCCTTGAGTGTATGAGGTAAGGGGTCTACCACAGAGCCATGTCCCCAGCCCTCAGATCTTAGGTTGTTTTATTCGTTGCAGAAGCAAAACACTCCCGGTATCCAAATGGCTCACATCCATAATCCCAGCACTTGGGAGGCAGGAGGATCACCATGAGTTTGAGGCCAGCGTGGGCTACACTAAGTGATTTCAAGGCCAGCCTGAACTACATAGGGAGACCTTGTCTCAAAAAAAAAAAAAGGAGAAAAAAAAGGTACAATTTCTATTGAATGCAGCTCCAAATATATCCATTTCTGTATAAGATGGAAAAAAAAGACTATAAGATTCCAATATATACATGTCACAAATATATAGAGAAATATCTGATAAGTCATGTAAGGCATTCCAGAGAGCAAAATTTAGTTCAGCATTTCCCAATAATCTGGAAACACACAAACTATCGATTTTATCACTGATGATTCCTTATTTGATAAAGGCAGTTTCAATACTTCCCCAGACCACTAGGCCCTTCCAGCAACACGTTTTTGTGGTTCCTATCAAATTTTCCAAAAAATCTTCTTTTTGTAGAGAATGTAGGCGATGAGCACCCAGAGAGTAGTGGCAACTATATTCTGAATTAAATGTTCTTTGTGTGACTGGTTATCATCCAGCTTCCATTGAAAGGGGAAGTAGTTCTCAAACACCTCGTGGCCAACATACACCAGAATAGAATTCATTCCTTAAAGAGATACAGAACATGGTTTTCCTAAGTCACATCAGATTATCTCTTTAATTCCTGAAATAAGTTCAGTGAAAAAACAAAAATATGCATTTGCATTATTGGCTACCAGCAAAAGTAAGTAATGCATACATATCTCAGATATTTAAGGGTAAACTGTTTTCAAATTTTTAGGAAATATTCACTTTATATCAATGGTTTGTTTGTAGTGCTAAAGACTAAATCCAGGACACTGCACATGGTGCACCTCCAGCCCAACAATGAATTTTTGAATATCAAATCTAAAAGGAGAATTACAACTTTATCTTATATTTTTTTAGACAAAAAAATTGAGAATCAAAGAATGCTAACTATTACTAGATTCAAGGAGTCACTGAAATGATCTGGTTTCTCAGTTCTTTAAAATACATCTGATCCATTCCATTTATCCCTTAATATTATCTTTCTGCATTTCTTATAAGGTACAACCTTTTAGGTAGTATACTGGCAATAAGAGAGAAAGCATAGTCCCATTTCCAAGTATTAAAAACTGGACAATATGTCCTACAACATTTTGGATACTCCCACAATTTGGTACTGCCTGAAGAAGTGAGGCTTATTAATTGTCATGCAACTACTCCAGGACTTAAATGGATGTAAATGGAGTAGACAGCTTCAGAATAGGCCAAGGATGTCCTGAGGACCTGGGAACAACATGACCCTGCTGCATTTTCCCTCTGCCTGTCCTTGGGAACCAGGCCACCACAACAGGGGTGGAAAGCCAGCAGGTCTCTGGGCCATTCCACCTGGTGACCATCACCAACTCTGTATGGGGTTAGAGGTAACTAACCTGGATAGAAGAATGGGGTTCCTGACCACAGTCCACACACATCAACAACCAAGTACAAGGCCAGCAGGATGAAGAAGGCAAAAGCACTAAGTGTGGTGACATAGGAAATGGACCTGCAAAGAATTGAATGAGTTATGCTCAGGACAAGCACATTCAATTTCAAATCAAGAAATCACCTACATTAAAACGATACTTCTATACTTACCAGAGATTTTTGTTTATGGGAATAAAGCCTTCGTTCTCAGACATTTTTGTCAAAGCAATAGAAATAAGCCCCTAAAAACAGGGAGGGAAAAGATGTTAAAGTTTTCTATTATCATTTCAAAAAATAACTGTTTCAAAACAAAGTATCTGCTTAGAGGAGGCTGAAAATTGTACCTTACATTTTGCCCTTTTAACTGGAAACATATTTTAAGAGGTACAACTAAAACACATTCTCCAAAAATACCTTTTCAATATTACTCTGAGTTGAAGAAGGTAAACTAACGGATAAATTACAGCAGATCCTAAGAGGAACGATGACTGCAAAGTTATGGGTAAAAAGAATACTGAATCAAACTTTTTTAAAATTTTTTTTAATTTTTAAAAAATTTTTTACATATAAATCTGAAAGTTGCTGTTTAAATAGTATTATTATTTGCCTGATCCTCCTGATAAGGTTACGCATGCAGAGTCCATAACTCACAATTCCTTTAGGCATTCTTCATGGCACTGTTTGACGACAAACATTATCTTACTCATAAACACAGCATTTTAAGAAAGTAAACCTGAGAATTTAAGTGTAAAGATTTGCTCCACCTTTAAGGTGAGGGGGTAGCTCATCTAAACACGATTCCAAGTGTTTATCATGCACCAGGTGCTGGGTTCAATCCCTGCCACCAAAAAATAAAAAATAAGTTAAAAAAAATTTTTTTAAAGATTTGTTCTTCTGTTATTCAAATAAAAAATGTTCCTGGTCACCATGTGGTGACAAATGCTATAGTAAGGTTGCTAAACACTTTACTTCTTTTTAAATACAGATGAGTGTGAAGAAAAGCCACCTTAGTAAGAAACATCAGTTACTTACAAGAACACAACACCAGGAAGTGAATCTAATGAGGATGTTTTTGGTCTGACCTTTGTAACACAGTAATATTTTTCCTGCCTGAAGAAGAAAACAATATGATCAAGGGAATCAATGAAAACATATTATTTCAGTCATCCACTGTTTAATCACTCAACAAACAGATTCATTCACCAGGCACATATCCAGATAGTAGGAGTGCCAGGAGAAATGGCACCTTTACTCCTTCCCTCCCCTCAGCACAGACTTGAGAGATGAGGTGCTCCTTCGAGGAAGGAAGATGACATGAGATGGTGGTGCCACAGAGGAGCAGCCACAGTATGTGATGGTGGAAGCAGAAACGGCATTCTGAACAAAAGGGAACAGCAGGCACAAAGCGACATGGAGAGGCATAAAGAAGGCCAAGAGCTCTCAGGGGATGCAGAAGGCTGGAGGGCAAGGAGAACCAACCAACAAGGACGTGGTCAGTAAGCCAGCTCAGGGGTCTTTCTTTCTTTCATAAGCAATGAGGAACCAATGAAAGTGTGCCCCCAAAGTGCCAAGGGACCCGCCTAGCCCGCTAACCCATCCAGCACTACACAACAGGGGCAAGGACAGAATGGCACTGCAGGCAGGGAGAAATTTTTTAAAAACCCACTAGGGTTTTACATGAAATCCCTCTGAAATTAGGAATTAATATTTGAAAACATCAAAGGATAAAAGTGTTAATAATAATTTCTACTAGCTAAAATTTATGAATGTTTTCTATGTGCCAGTTCTTAGACCTTCACAGGAATTAAGTTACTTAACTTTCAAAACACCCCTATAAAGCAGATGCAGATGAGGCTTAGCAAAGTGAAGTACAGTAATACATTGCCTGGGTTCACAAACGCTTATGTCTGCAAACAATTTAACCTCCACACTGGATGAGCTGCCTCAGCTGACAGACATTTATCTAGAGAGGAGAGTTTAAGGACTCAGCAAACTTGTTTCAAAACACAGTATGAACTAGACAGTGCTATAGTGACAGTGCAGCAATCTCTTAACTACAAAATCATTTAATCACCAAAATGTATATGCTTTCCATCTGCACTATCCAATATGGGAGCCCCTAGCCACATGTGACTTTAAACTTAAAACTGAATTAGTTAAAATTAAGAAAGCTAGGGCTGGGGATTTAGTTCAGTGGTCCCACTGCCTGCCTCGCAAGTGCAAGGTCCTCAGTTTGATCCTCAGTACAAAATTTCAAAAAAAGTAAGAAAGCTAAAATGTTAATTTCCTCAGCCGTACTCGTTACATTTCAAGTACTCCACAGCCACCTGGCTAGCAGCCACCCTAGCAGACAGCACGCTTGAAGAGCATTCTCATCACCCAGAAAGCTCAGGAGCACAGCTTTACAAGGGTTTCTCCTGCCACTTCACTTGCCTCAAATAGTTTCAAATACCAATAAGAAGAATTTTAGGAAGAAACATCTAGACCACTCAAAATTTTAATGAAAGTACACTTGAAGTAGATCAAGAAAAACCTGTATTGACCTTGACAGAAAGTATGAATGCTCTGAAACCACATACAGTGTTGGCTGTGATATGAATGTGTGATGGCATTGCCTTCATGAATGCATTTTACACCCTTATAAAGGGGCTTTAAACAGCAAGGCCAGTCTCTGCCCTTGCACCTTCCACCAGGTGAGGACCCAATGCTTATCATGTCTGCAAGATGCTCAGTTCAAGGCACCAGCTTGGAAGTAGGGCCCAGACCCTCACCAGGCCAAGAACCCACCAAGCACCCTGACCTTGGACTTCCCAGCCTCAAGAACTGTAAGAAATAAATTCCTGCTCTTTAGAAGTTACCCAATCTCTGTATTTTTTTATATGAGAAACATGCTAAGACAAGCACACAAAAATAATGCTACAAAAGACAAGGTGACTTCCCCTGTCACCAATGTCTGAACATTCTGTTCACTTCACTAGGGAAATCTTTTACCCAGAAACTGCCGGGCTAACATAAGCCACGTAAGTAAGAATTTTTTTTTAACAATATGAGAATTATACCTATTTGTGCTGAGTTTTAAGAACTTCTGGTTTTGTACAATCTGTTGAACCTGAACAGAATTTATTACACCTATAGCACAGAAGAGGGTATACTTATATTTTAATGAAATCGTTTTTGAATTAGTGATGAAGCAATCATCAGACACTGTTAGAAAAAAAAAAGGTAGACCACTGAAATGAGCAAATACCTGAACTCCTAAAAATGCCATCACAATGGAGTTGATGGTCCCTAAGATTCCTTCTGGATCATAGGGCACTTTCGTGTGATACAGCACCTTCATAAAACAACAAGAAAGCAGCCTTTACTTCCTGACCATGGAAATGAACATAAACAACTCTTAATCTGAATACAGACTTGAATGCTATAACCCAGGCATCAACCTTTTTTGTTTGTTTTTACTTTTACTGTGTAAGTTCATTGCTAACTTATGGGGATTATAGGCATAATACTTCCTAGGCATGAAAGTGTATAGTGTGTCCAGGGTATACAGAGCCCCAGGAACAAGCCAGGGTCCAGCAATGTCCCCTTCAACTTCAGCTGGCTCAGTAAACAGTGCTAGGATCCCACTTGAATAGTTTCATATAAAATGCATGTTATCTTCATAATTTCATTATTCTATTTTTTCAAGTCTACTGTGGCAATGACAGGTCCCTATCTTCTTCTAAGGCAAAGAACATTTAAAAACACATTTGGCTAAGCTTTCATACATAGGGAGAGGAGTGGGCTTGGGGGAAATGGGATAAAATGTATTAATTTTTTAAAAATACATTTGGGTTGGCTCAGTGATAGAGTGGATAAATAGCATGCACAAGGCCCTGGGATTGATCCCCAGCAGCTGCAAAATACAGTAAAATAAAATAAAGTAAGATAGACCAAGATCAAATAAAATTTAAAAATACACCTGCATTTTCACCATAAAATGCTGATCCTGTAGAAATTTGGAAGTGTACAGTGTAGCCGATGCTATAGCACAACCCCCTGACCTTCCTTTCCTTTCAGGATGGAAGCATTCATTCCCTAGCTGCTAGAAAAATTAATCGCTAAAAGCTCCCACTCCAGTTCTTCTTCTGGATTATCCTTAACTAAAAACAGCTACTGGGCTACAGGTATAGCTGAGTGGTGGAGTGCTTGCTTAGTGTTGTCAGACCCTGGCTTCCAATCCGGTACTACAAAGGAAAGAGAGAGCTGCCTCGGAAGCTCCACAGGGGTCAGCCAGCCAGGGCAGTCCACGTCCAACAGGAAGGTAAAGGGCCCAATCCCTCACCCCAGTGCATACAGCTCTGATGTGCCAGCCCAGCTTCCTCTGAGGCCTTTCTTTGCTGGGACTGCAGTATAGTTCCAATTCTCCTTCTACACATCCAGGTTCCTTCCTTCCCAAACAGGGACTGATCCAATGAAGACTGCTACACTCCTGCACAGTAATTTCTGTTTCAGAGCCTACTGCCTATATCTCTGACCTCAGATGTACAGAAAAGTGCTAAAGGCTACTTATGTTACACAGTTCATTCTTATTTTATTGATAAAATAATGTTCACCTACTACCACATAATGAAGTCATTAAGTTAGCCAACTTTACAAATAAAAATTAGTTTTTATCACATTTTACTAAATGGACATAATTTAAAGCAGGCCAACTCTTTCTATTTTCCCCCATTTCAGAGCTCCTAAACCCCTTGTCCCATGTAAAAGCCATTCTCACACACCGTAGAAGAAGGATGCTGGTACAGGTGATTACTTCCTAGGAGCAGTTGGTCAATGTAACCTGCAGCTCCTCCAGTACAGTTTGCATACTTCCCCAAGTCTCCAATACCACCAGGGCCAAGGTACCCACTAGGAAGTAAAAACATATTTAAATGATGAGACTCAGAAGGCAAGGTGTATTACAGTAGATATTTATGCATTCAAAAAGTTCATTCAAAGAACCTCAAACAGGTACAAACCTAAAACATCATTCTGGCTCCATGCACCCTCATCAACACATGACCCGCCCATTCCTGACACTGGTAAGGCACCAAGGCCACACTGATTTCAACTCAAATTCACCCTGAAACAACACCCACCTCTCCCACTACGAAGCATTCCCCAAAGGAGAAAAAGGACCCAAAAAGAAATCCTGTGACTTGAGAAACTTGAAATCTATAAAACCAGAACCTTCAATTTGGCAGAAAGTAAAATGCAAAAGTGGATTATCTGCAAGGTTCACTTACGTAGGACATCCAGGAACTGGTAATAAAAACGTCAAGCCCAGCCAAACGCTTTCCAGCAGCAGAATGAGGAGCCACTGGGACCAGCTGGAGGTGATATCTTGGAGGGAAGGGCAGCTTCTCTCCTGAGTAAGGGATAGGGTAGAAAGCACTACATATAAACTACATGCAGATACAAAGGGACTAAATTGTGGTATGTATTTTGGAAATTTCCAGGGATTATTTTCTTGACATTTTAGTAGAAATACAAAAATATATATTTAATAGGTTCTGATACTGTCTGCATGCTGTAGGATATATCACAGTAAAATAGTAGTTAAAACACAATTGGTGAGCTAGGGGTATAGCTCAGTGGTAGAACACCTGACAAGCACATGCAAGGCCCTGGTATAAATTCTCAGAACCACACACAAAGATTTAATAAAAATAATTTTTAAAAAATAATGCAGTTGGTTAACTGGCAGTATTTTACGCAGAACCAATAATGATCTAAAGACTTTATGAGTGAGGGCTGGGATTTAGCTCAGTGGTTCTGCCACCGGCCTTGCGAGTGCAAGGTCCAAGTTCAATCCCTGGAACCAAAAAAAAAAAAAAAAAAAAAATTGGAAGTGAATTTCTCACACACCTTCCCCCATTTTAATCCTATTTTTACATGATTTCTCACCGAGACACAGTTTTCAGGTATGGGTTTAGCAAACAGGAGCTCCAATACAGCAACCACAAAGTACGTAACTCCCAACCGCTGCAGCACACCGGGAATTCGTACCTTATCCCAAGACACTGAAGAAGACACAGGTTAGGTAAGGCATGCACAACATGTCTCATCTCAACCCAAGACAGTATTTTTTTTTTCTAAAGGGAAAGTCATACCTATAGTACATCTAAGTGAGTGATTTTAAGCTCTTTGAGACCAAAATACACATGGTCAGGAGACATGGCTCTTATCTAAGTTCTAAGAGCAGGCCAGTCCCACGCAACAGAAGGATGTCAGGAGAAGGCTCAAACTCAAACCAGGAAGCGGGCCAGTTGGGAGACTGAGAATAAACATGCCTTACTCAGGGGCAGGGATAAGGTAGGGACTACCCTTGGCCCTGAATTTCATTTGCTGGCCCCTTCCAATCAGGCATATGGATTCAATCCTCATGTCCAACAGGAACTTGTAGACCTAACACAAGCCTGAGTGACTCTTCTTGACCTAAAGGAGACATGACAGCATCACTGAAATATTGTCACCCTGTAACAAACCCTGACCGTACCCCCAAACACAGCTCACTTTTTGGCAGTCTATCAAATCTACTTTTATACAATATCAATCACAAGTAACCCCTCTGTCCTTCTAGTATCTACCACCTTTCAATAAAAGTACTGGGTGCCTAAGGATTTGAATTGGCTACTGCTGAAACTCTAGTGTCCTATTTGGCTAATGAGACCCACTTGAGGATAGGGGTTACTGCTCACTGATGCTGGTGCAGAGCAGAGTTTACATCCTTCCCTTGACAGTCTTTTCTCATCATACATTATAGGGATGACAAAGCCATTATCCTTCCCAGCAACCTAGCTGGCATACAAGGGATTACAAATGATTTCTCAAAAGTACCACTCCATATGGACAAAAAAAGAAAACAAAATGGCCAGAAAGCAGGGCCTGAGAATAAGATGACCTGGTCTGTCTCTGGTCTGTTCTACTCTACGCATACATAAATCAGAGAAAAAAACACTTTAATCTCTCATGGTCTCCGACTTTTCTGTCATATAACAAAAGAATCTGAATAGTCACATAGGCTCCTCTTAGGTCTAAATATCCAAGATGATAATAAGATTGATGCCCAAAGTTACACAAGCATCATATATACCTTCCTGACAATAGTTCTTTTTGCAAGTAGCTGAGATACAGGAGTTACATTTCTTTCACATGAAAACATGTGGAGCCGCAGATGCAGCTTAGATGTAGTGATACAGCACTTGTCTAGCACACACAACAGCCTGGGCGCAATCTCTAGCAAGGCAGCTAAAGTAGGAGATAGGTGATGGGTGGATGGATGGATGGATAAATAGATAGATAGAGCAAGCTATAAACTATAACATGCATTTCCTCAAGTTCAACCTAAATATATACTAACAAAAGGGAAAAAATACTTACATGGACCAAGGCAATAATTGGGGTTCACAATGACAAGTCCTATACATATTAAAAGAAAACTCCTCCATGCAATTTTCCCCAATAATTTGAATTTAGAACATCCCCGCTGAAGTATGAAAGTCATTGATAGCAAAACTGAAGATCCCATAATAAATACAAACCTAAAAAAAAAAAAACTATTAGTATGTGTCCATTTCTAATTTTTTCCTTTTATTATTAGCACCTAGTAACTTTACAGAAACTGGGTTGCAATGTATATATTTTGATCCTATCCATCCCCTCATTACTGACTTTTCATCTATGCATCATTAATCTTTTATAGCAAACTGCAAGAGAGAAGCAACACACTGTCAGTTTAAAGTGGCAAACTATTAACACCCAGCCAAGAGCATAGGAAGAGACTGGACTAGAACTCGCTGTGCCATGAGGGTTCTATCAGCAGATCTTCAAGACTTGCCTTAGAAGGAAAAATCTTTATTATTAAATAGAACTTCCAAGCACAACCCTCCCAATGAAATGTCAGATAAAAATAATGAAGATGCCTAATACAAATAACCAGACTTTATCTGGCATGCCCTCAACGTCACTGAGAAACAAAGTATTTCAATCGTTTCTAAACTCACACCTGCTCCTAAAAGAAAAAGATGCTTTTCTTCTCTCCAACTGGTTGGAGTTACATGTTCCTTTCTTCTGCCATACAAATTGTCTCTTTAAAAGAAAATCATACTAGTAATTGTTCTAGTTATTTGGTTAATGGTTATGGAGATGAGTTTGCTCTTGCTGCACGACTGGGGGGTAACTTGGCTTCCCTTCAGGGGTCACCTCAATCAGATAAAAAGTTCCAGTAAGCATGATGTGGTGGCAAACATCTGTAACTCCAGCACTGACAGGATGAAACAGGAGGATCACACAAGTTTGAGCCTACCCTGACGAACTTACTGGCTTAGTGAGAACATGTCTCAAAATGAAAAATTGAAGGAGGAGGGCAACTGGGACTATAGCTCAGTGCAAAGATCCTGGGGTTCAATCCCGAGTACTGGGGAGGAAAAAAAAACTTCTAATGACAGGAAATTTCTCTACAGGAATCCTTACAGAGAATATATTTAAATAATAGTCAAGACAAGCATGTAGGCTTAGGCTCGTGATCTCAGCTACTCAGAAGACTGAAGAAAAAAAGAAAAGAAGGCTAAGCAGGAGGATTGCAAACTGGAATCCAGCCTGGGTAACTCAGCAACACTCTGTTTTAAAACAATAATAATAAATCAGGCAAGGCCAGAAACAAGAGAAAGGGGGGAAAGTAAAAAATAAAAGATTTAGCTCAGTGGTTCGGCCTCCTGCCTTGCAAGTGCAAAGACCCGAGTTCAATCCCCGGTACCAAAAAAAAAAAAAATTTTAATAAAATAAAAGAGCCAACAACAGTAAAACATCATGACAAGAATGAATCAATATGTATCGATTATAACCATCAATGTTAATGGCCTCAATTTACCAGTCAAAAGAAACAGACTGGCAGAATGGATTAAGAGCCAAAATCCAAAAACATGCTGTATTCAAGAAACACACTTATTTCAAAAAGAAATTCATAGACAAAGTAAAAGGATGGAAAACAACTCTCCTTGCAACAGGAACCCAAAAAAAAGCAGGGGTAGCTATTTTATTTGCAGACAAGGTAGATTTTAAACCAAAATTAACGAAGAGAGACAAAGAAGGTCATTACATTCTTGTAAAGGGAACAATCCAAGAAGAACAGATGACAATCATAAATATATATGCACCAAATACTAGCACTCCCAACTATATGAAACAAATATTAAGGGACATGATAAACCAATTAAGTAATGATATAACTATAGACCTCAATACTCCACTGTCACAAATAGACAGGTCATCTAGACAGGAAATCAACAACAAAATACTAGAACTGAACCAAACTTTTCAACAAATGGACTTAACAGATGTCTGCAGTGTTCCACCCCACAAAATCAGAATACACATTTTTTTTCCACTGCACACAGGTCAAACTCCAAAACAGACCACATGCTAGCTTATAGAACGTGTTTAAATAAATGCAAAGGAACTGAAGTTATACCATGTATATTATCAGACCATAGTGCAATTAAACTGGAGATCAATAGCATAGGAAACAGCAGAACTTCACAAACACATGAAAACTGAGTAACACTCTCCTGAACAACCAATGGGCCACAGAGGAAATTAAAGATGACATTAGACAGTTTCTATAATTAAATGATAATGCCAATACAACATACAGGAACATATTGGGCAAAATAAAAGCAGTTCTACGAGGGAAATTCAGAGCAGTAAATGCCCACAGTAGGAAAACAGACCGAGCTAAAATACATAATCTAATGGTGAACCTCAAGCTCCTAGAAAGAGAAGAGCAAGACAAACCCAAAGGTCGTACAAGGGAGGAAAGTATAAAGATCAGAGCAGAAATCAATGCAATGGAGACTAAGAAAATGATTTTTTTAAAAATGAATATGGAATACTACTCAGCCATAAAGAATGAGAAATTAGACTCATTCATAGGAAAATGGATACATATTGAGGATATATTGCTAAGTGAAATAAATAAGTCATACATGTGTAAATACCGAATAGTTTCTCTGGTGTGAATAAACTATAATAGTACATAAGATCCTAATGAGATAATTGACAATGTGAAATAGGAAGAAAAGGGATAAAGGTGTAGGGAAAGTGGGAAGAGTAAGGGAAAGGCAATAAGGGAAAAGAAAAAAATAGGAGAAAATGAAAAAATGGAAATAAAGTGTTTGTAAATGGGGAGGGGAGGATGGTGAAGGGAAGGCAGGGATAGGGGGAAGAAATGAGAACCAAGACCTGTCACGTAGAGGTACAAGATCGCAATAATGAATGTAACTGTCCTGTATACCTAAAATGCACCAATAAACTCAATGAGGAAATAAATAAATAAATAAATAAACATAAGTATGCCTGTAAAAAAATTGAATAAATCAAAGAGTTGGTTCTTTGAAAGAATAAATAAAATTGACAAACCGTCAGCCAACATCAAAAAAAAAAGCAAGAATAAAAGGAAGAAGGGCCCAGATTTAGTTCAGTGGTGCTGCCACCTGCCTTGCAAGTTCCAGATCCTGAGTTTGATCCCTGGTAGGTAGGAAGGTAGGTAGGCAGGCAGGAAGGAAGAAGGGCTCAAATCCATGCAATCAGGACTAAAAGGGGTGAAATGACAATAGATCCAGCAGAAATTCACAGGATCATCAATACCTACGTTGAGAACCTATTCTCCAATAAAATGGAAAACACAGAAGAAATGGACAGATTCCTAGATACATATGAATTACCAAAGCAAAATGAAGAAGATATAAAAATTCTAAACACCCCAATATCAATCAGTGAAAAGAAAATGTAATTAAATATTTACTAACAAAGAAAAGCCCAGGTCCTGTTCGCTTCACTGCTGAATTCTACAAGACATTTAGGGAAGAGCTAAGGCCACCACTTCTCAAAGTCTTTAATGAAACTGAAAGAGAAGCAATACACCAAAACTCATTCCTAGAAGCAAGCATTACTCTGATTCCAAAAGCAGAGAAAGACCCAACCAAAACAGAGAACTACAGGCTAATCTCCCTAATGAACATATATGCAAAAACCCTCAATAAGATACAGGCAAACAGAATATAGAGGGTCATTAAGATGATCATAGACCCTGACCAAGTGGAACTCATCCCAGGGAAGCAAGGAGGGTTCAACATATGTAAATCAATAAATGCAATACAGTATATTAACAAACTCAAGAACAAAAACCGTATGATTATCTCCATAAATTCAGAAAAAACATCTGACAAAATCCAACATCCACTCATGAAAAAAAACCCTACATAAAATTGAAATAGATGGTCTTTATCTCAATCTGATAAAGGATACCTACAAAAAAACCAACAGCCAACATCATACTAAATGGTCAAAAACTGAAAGCTTTCACAATAAAATCAGGAACAACACAAGGATGTCCACTATCACCACTCCTGTTCAATATCATTTTGGAAACATTAGCCACAGCAATTAGACATGAGAAAGAAATAAAAGGAATAAAGATAGGAAAGGAAGAAGTTAAGCTGTCATTATTTGCTGAACATGATATGCTACACAGAAGGCCCAAAAAACTCTACTAAAAGCCTTCTAGACACATAATTGACAGATGCAGTACAGTAGATGAACACAAGTTCAACACTCAAAAATTAATAGCCTTGGGCTGGGGATTTGGATCAGTGGTCCCATCACCTGCCTTGCAAGCACAAGGACCAGAGTTTGATCCCTGGTACCCCGCCAAAAATATCAATAGACTTCTTGCACACAAGTAACAGACTCAATGATAGGGAAATTGAGGAAACAACTCCTTTTACAATAGCATCAAAAAAAAGAAAGAAATATCTAGGAACCCATCTAATGAAGGAAGTAAAAGACCTCTACCTTGAAAACTACAGCACCCTGAAGAAAAAAAAGATTTAAGAGGATAATCAGAAAATGGAAAGATATCCCTTGCTCCCAAGGTAGGAAGAACCAATACAGTAAAAATGGCCATAATTCCAAAATTGCTACATAGATTCAATGCAATAACAGTTGAAGTCCCAACAGTATATTTCGCAGAACTACAAAAAACAATACAAAAATTCATTTGGACCTAGAATAGCAAAAGCAATTTTAAGCAACAAAGATATGACAGGGGTATCACAATCCCCAACATGAAACTATACTACAAAGCCACTGTGATAAAAACAGCATGGTAATGGCAAAGAAACAGACTGGAGAATAAGTGGAATAGATTAGAAGATGCAGACACAACGCCAGACACACTCAGCTACCTCACCTTTGACAAAGGAGCCAAACACCCTCACTGGAGGAAAGATAGCCTCTTTAATAAATGGCACTGGAAAAATTGGATTTCAACCTGCCACAGATTAAAACTAGACCCTTATCTTTCACCATGCACTAAACTAAAATCCAAGTGGATCAAAGGTCTAAATATTAAAACAGAAACACTAAACTTGCTGGAAGATAGGTTAGGTAGAACTCTTGAAGACACTGGCAAAGAAAAAGACTTCATGAACAATGGGAACTAGCACAGAGAATCAACAACTGGGATCTCATCCTATTAAAAAGCTTCTGGGGGCCAGGGATTTAGCTCAGTGGTTGCACCGTCTGCCTTGCAAGTGCAAGGACCTGAGTTTGATCCCCAGAACCAAAAATAAATAAGTAAAAAGCTTCTGCACTGCAAGAGAAACCACCAACAGAGATAAGAGACAACCTACAATGTGGGGAAAAAAATTTTACTAGCTGTTCCTCAGATAAAGGACCACTATCTAGAATAAATAAAGAACTTAAAAAAATCAGAACCCCCCCAAATTTAAAGACCCAATCCAAAAATGGGCATCTGAAATGAATAGACATTTGTCAGACAAAGAAGTAAAAACAGTAAATAAACATATGAAAAAATGTTCAACATCACTAGTCATTCGAGAGATGCAGATGAAAACAACACTGAGCTTCCATCTCACTCCAGAAAGAATGGCTGCTATCAAGAAATCAACCAATAACAAATGCTGGTGGGATGTAGGAAGAAAGAAACTGTTCTCCATTTTTTGTGGTTGTGCAGACTGGTGCAACCACTGTGGCAATCAATGTGGAGATACCTTAAAAAACTAGGATTAGAGGTCCAATTTGACCCAGCTTGATATCTTCCCAAAATAATTAAAAGAATCATACCACAGTGATATATGCACACCCACATTTATAGCGGCACAGTTTGTAGTAGCTAAAATTTGGAAACAGCCCAGCTGCCCATCAACTGGACACTGAATAAAGAAGATGTGGCTTTGCTTTAAGGAATACTACTCAGCCACGAAAAATGAGAAATTAAGAGACATTTACAGCTAAATGGATGCACATTGAGGCTATACTCAAGTGAAACAAATTAACAGACATGTAAATACTGAATAGTTTTTCTGGTGTGAGAAAAGTGTAAATAAGAATCAAAAGGTGTAATAATGTGAAATAGGAAGAAAAAGTCTAAAAGGGAGGGGAAGTGGGAGGAGTAAGTGGAAGGAAAGAAGGGAAAGGAAAAAATATGAGAAAAGGAATAAATGGAAACAAAGTTTTTGAAAATAGGTAGGGGTAGAAGGGTTGAAGGGAGGCAGGGGAATGGGGAAAAATTAAGAACCAAGATATGTCATGTAAAGGTACAAATTCCCAATGATGACTATCATCATACTGTACACCTAAAATGTACCAATAAATTTAATTAAAAATAATAACAACAGCTGTAGATGTAGCTCAGTGGTAGAGAACTCCTGAATTCAATCCCTATTACTAACAACAGTGATGATCAAGTTTTCATGAATATAAAACTTGCCCTACCCAGATCCACCTCAAAAATAAAAAGGTTTCTCCCCTAAAACTGAGTCCATATTAGTGATAAAATACAGGGGACCAAAGACATAAAACAGTCTCCTGGTACCGTCTCTTAATGATGGTGCAGAGTTTCTCAAAGCATCAGAGCAAAGGTGCAAATTGCACATCATATGGGAAGGGTCCTTCAGCAAAAGAAGCCACAGATAAACAGAAGCAGAGTTTGTTTACTCCATTCTTACATTAAATTTTAATTTATTACTATCATTGCCTGCTACGTATTTATCAGTATTCACAGACACCAGTATACTGTATTTCTTTGAGGAAGTATAATTTTATACATATTTTCAGGTGTAATGCAATTTAACCATATATTCAGAATTTATGATATACTACAGGATGTCAACACCTGGTATACCATATGCGCTCTAACATAACATTCCTTATGGTGCTATACCTCAATGGCAGAGCACATACTTGGCATGTACAAGGCCCTGGATTTAATCCCCAGCACCACACACACACACACACACACATACACACGTTTAAAAAAATCACTTGTGTTTTAGTATACACATGTATAAGCATGATGCCAAATATAAGAACTATCCAATAGCTAGGTATGCTGGTATACACCTATAATCTTAACACTCTGGGAGAGGCTAAGGCAGGAGGATTTCAAGTTCAAGCCCAGTCTGGGTAACCAGTGACTTAGTGAAACCTGTCTCAAAATTTAAAAAAAAAAAAAAGGGACTGGGAATGTAAATCAGTGTGAAGGCTCTAGGTTCAATTTCCCAATACACAACTTTTAAGGACTTCATAACAGCAAACACAGGCTTGTTTGTGGTCCCAAGCTGAAGGTTAGTCTGAGAGGGACTCCAGCATTATTTGAAAGACAAAGGCCTAGAGATGACCTATTGAAAAATTGATAGTAGATTGCAAACTCACCATGGGAATACAAGGTCAGCCACGGTCAGTCCTGCAGAACAATGTAAATAAAAATAGTAAGAAAGAGGAGTCTATAAACACTTCCAAATCCAAAATGGACTTCAGTACATGTGGATAGAGAGTACAACTCACACAGGGGTAACTCTCTCTCTTTCTCTCCCTCTCTCTCTCTCCCCTGAGATTCTAAACCAATCTCTGGGACTGGGGTATTTCGTAACCATAGCTAGACTAGCATGTGAATTAGTTTGTTGGCTTTAAGCGCCGCTATTCAAAATCTCTTCTTCAGACCTGTGAGCAGTGCCACCTGTAGGAAATATCTTACCATTCCAACCAGAATGTTTGAAGTACCAATATCTTCCTCCTCCATAATTAACGAAGACCATGAGGACAAGAGCTATCCTATAAAGCCAACAAATAAAATATTTTCAGGATTTACAATGTGACAAGAAACTGTTGAACCACAAGTCATGCATTTATCTTCACAAGGTGTGGTCATGCAATTAACATGATACTAAAGAGCAGTTTATGACACACGAAGTGAAAGAGCCAAGAAAAAATTATTTTCAACTGGAACCATACACTAAAGTTGTTGCCAATATTTGCAACATTATGTCTCAAGGAAAATTTACACTACACTACTAAACCATATAACTTGAAAACAAAGCAAAACACTTCCAATAACTCAATTTTGTTCTAACAATTTAACGTCTAAGGTAAAATGTGTCATTGAAGGCAGTTGTTTGAATCAGAGGGCAAAGGATTCAAATCTTGAGTCCTTTCCCCTTATCAATCATGAGACCCGAGGCAAGATTCTCATGAGTTAACTCTGTGCTTATATGTAAAAGGGGACAATCTCACATGTGATCACTAGAAAGAAAAATGTACAGTATAGCACCTCACTACTGCTTACACACGTTAATTTCTGTCCATTTGTGAAAATTTCATTTCCAAAAGTGGCAATAGTGACTGGAAAAAAGAGGAATACACTATTGCTTGATGTTAACTGTGCAGAATTTCGAGAATGAAGATGGTCAAGGAATAATCGGAGCAGCCTCTATAACACAACTGCTTAGAATCAAATCCTGACTTTTTCCTTTAGCATCTGAATAAATATGGGGAATTATTTAACTCAATGGTGCAATTTTTCAATCATAAAATAGGCATATTAAAAGTATATACTTCATAGGACTGTTGAAAGATTAAACAAATTACAAATTAAGACACATTAGAGGCAGTGACTGGCACACAGAACTCAGAAATTGTTATCAATTATTATCATTTTATTACCAGTATATATCCCTAATGTGAAAATCAAAAATGCTCCCAAAAAATCCAAAAGCTTTTGAAGGCTGACATGATGCATAAGATGAAGGCTGGAGGTATACCTCTAGGGTAAATGTTTAGCATATGAAGCTCTAGATTCAACCACTAAAACTCACAAAAATAAAAATGCACAGGTACATTAAAACAACACATAAAATTACCTTTAGGCTATGTACACAAAACAAAATTTATGTTTAAACTTGAGTCCCACCCCCAAGATGTGTTATTATATATATGCAAATATTAAAAAATCTGAAATTTTTCTGTTTCCAAGTATTCTCAACCTTTATGACCTGCTTTCAAATAGACCTACCAGGAATACTTAAGAACCCTGTTGAGCTGGGAAGAAATTAACTTTTAAAAATATTTTTAAGGTGTTTAATATTTTATAATTTTAAAAAAAATAAATCTATTATATAAATTTCAGTAAGACCCTTAAGTACATATAAAAGCTGAACAGGAAGATTATGTATCATACACAAACTAATGTACATCAATAGAATCAGTTTTTCTCAAGAACATTATTTTGCCAGGCATGGTGGCACACACCTGTAATCTCAGCACTTAGGAGTCTGAGGCAGGAGGATTGCCATGGGTTTGAAGCCAGCCTGAGCTACATAGTGAGTTCAAGACTAGCCTGAACCAAATAGCAAGACACCAGCTGGGTGTGGTGGTGCACGCCTATAATCCCAGCACTTGGGAGACTGAGGCAGAAGGATTGCTGTGAGTTCAAGACCAACTTGGGCTACATAGTGAGTTCCAGGTCAGTCTCAACTACATAGTGAGACCCTGTCTCAAAAAAAAAAGCAAGACACCATCTCCAAAAAAGCAAATTAATATTTTCAAACCACTATTATTAACACCATTAACAGAAGCTCAGAAATTATTTATCTGAAGTCATTGTAAAAAAAAAATCTAAATACAAGCCATATTTAAACTAAAAGATAAATTCAACTGCTTCTGGTATTTAGCAGCAATGCATAACAAAGAACATCACCCTTCCCCACTGTGTCCGTGAAGTGTGCTATAACTTCATCAATAAAATTTCTTTTAGGAGACACGCATGAAAAGGAAGAAAAATGGGGTAAATCCATTCCAGTTTGAATAAAGCTAAGCAAATTTTGTGTATGAATGTATTACATCAACTTAGGAAGTAGACTGTGTTGAGAAAAGAGAAGATTCAATTCACGTAGCTCTGATTACATATCTGAACTACGTCAACATTGTAGCCAAAAAGTATGGATAAACAAAATTGATCAATGGAAACAAAGTCTTTGTAAATGGGGGAAGGTGGAGGAGTAAAGAGAGGACAGGGGTATGTGCAAAAATGAGAACCAAGACCTGTCATGTAAAGGTACAAGATCCCAATAAAGACTGTTAACTGTATTGTATACCCTAAAAAGTACTAATAAACTCAATAAAAAAACAAAATTGATTACAGCTATTTTTCATCCATAATGTAACTTTTAAAAAGTACAGAACTGTTAATTTTGCATTAAAAATACAGGTAATTAACAATCAGATGAAACCACATATTATTGTTACTAAGCTGACTGGGAAAAAAATATACAAAGAAACAATCATTTTCATTAATTTACAAAATGTAAGAATTTACATACTAATATATAATCTCTTGACTTTCTCTGATCTATACACAGAATGCCTAGTTATCTTCATGCAAATAAAATTTTCAGAATTCAATTACCAAAGCAAGCAACAAACAAGAAACTGTCAGTAATACACAGATAAATCCCTTCCAGTTCCTGTTCTTTAAGTTTTTGCTGATTACAAAACTTGCAGGTTCAGCTCTTTCATCATCTCTAACTCCTGTCTTGCCCCTATTCCTGCCTGAGTTTATCTTGGAGATTTTTGTCCATCAACCTCAGCATGGTCCAGTCTCTCAGTTCTGACAAATATTCTGACTACTGTCTTTTTCTAAATTTGAATCACTGGTATATTTTTGGTTTATTTCCTGTTCTAATTTTTTTCTCTAAGTGTTAAAACATAAAATCCTTCCACTCTTTGAGCATGTTCATCGTGCCAAGATTCAAGCTCTTTCTATAAATTCTGAAGTTTTTCAGTTAGTTCCTTCATAGCTTTTGACTACGCAACATTTCCACGTCCATCTGAAGTTGTTGCTTCTTTTATAGTTTGTCCTGCTGTTTAATCATTACTTCTTTCTGGTTTTTTTCCCTTCTCATCCTTCCAAACATCTCTGAGAAGAAGTGGAGATGAAGGTGCACCATCCGCTTGTGTCCCTTAGCAAGTTGCAAGTGGTAGACTCAAACTTCTTTTTATCTGTAGAAGTACTTCAGATTGATGGAACTAAACAGCTATATAATTTTCAACTTATTTTAAAAATCTATTTTCCCCTGTTCTTCTGATAGGGAAAGTTTTTATAAATAGCAAAAACCTATAAAGTGTTACAATGTAAAGTGGCTTCTGCTGTCTCTAACAGCAGTTTGTTTTGTTTAGCTCAGAACTAAGAGGCACGGAAGGCACTAACTGCTGAATGAAGCATTTGGTCTGACCCTGTGATAACAGGGCACAGCAAGGTCTTGAGCTCCAAAGAGACTGGAGCCACCTGATCTGAGTGTCTAGATCAAAGAACCCATTGCTGACATTTGCTCTTTCATCCTGAACACCCCCCTTCCTATGAACTAGAATAGATAACTAGGGGAACCTTAAAGGTAAACTCAACTGCAAAAAAACTGTTACATCTGGGTTGAAAAGATTTAACTATTCTGTGACCGTGATTTGAATTGTAAGAATGAAATGTAATCGCCCAAATGAAGTCAAGGCTGTGAAACCCTATAAAAGGAGGAGTTGTAACCCAGTGTGTCGTCAATCCAGGCACGACTATGTGCAATCGACCCTTATCGATAAGTAAATTTGTTATTTTACTTCCATTCTGCTGCCTGTCTGTGTGTCACTTACTGATTCCTCCCGTAACACTTCAACTGAGACATCTGGACAAAAAAAACAGTTCTTTTTAGTGTTTACTACTACTGTGAGGGGCCAGGGATGTAGCTCAGTGGTGCAACTGCCTTGCAAAAACAAGGTTCTGTGTTTGATTCCCCACACTGAAAAAAAATAAAAATAAAAATTATTACCACTGTGAAGCTTCTCTGTCATGATACAGACTTACCCGAGGTCTTTGCAACCTCTCTAGGTTGAGTTACAGAGAAGAGCTATCTTTGGGGCTATATTTTTATCACACATGCACAAGTAGTGGCTAGGATATAAAAATGAGTATGTCTCAGAAATGGTCAACTTCTCGCTTTATAACAAGATGTCATGATTATAATTCCAGTCCTGATGGTCTGTCAGTCATGGATGAGTTTCTATTTCCCATGCTATACCACATTTCTTCTAAATTATCTTTAATTTCTTTTCTTCAGGTGTCTCTTAAGTATTTTTGGTTCACATGGCAACAATACCATTTGGCTGATTCCAAAACCCCGGCGGCAAGTTGTTTTGTCAAGTGATCTGTGAGAATGCATCACACATGCGCGGGGCGCGCACATTCCCGCAGTGCTCCAGACACTGACTACATGCTGCATCAGGCTACACACCAACCGGGTGCAGAAACCCAACCGTTCATGTTCCACTTCAAAGTTACTGCCCGTTCCCTTTAACTGGGCCAGTGAGTGTTTAGCAAGAAGAATGCTACCATCTGAGGAAAAGTTTGTGGCTGCAATAAAGCATTATACAGTCTGTATGCATCGGTTAATGTGATCAGCCCACAGGATAGGCACTGAATGGAATATTTTCAGGACCTTTAAGATACACTATGACTGGGCACAGGTCTTCCTTGCTTTTTATTTAAAAATAAAAGTCAGGGGGAACCACTGAGCTAAATCCTCAGCCCCCTGACTTTTATTTTAAATCCAAGAGGGCCAGGGATTTAGCTCAGTGGTTCCGCCACCTGCAATGCAAGCAAAAGGACCCGAGTTCAATCCCCAGTACCAAAAAAAAAAAAAAAAAACCCTGGATTTAGCAATGGTTTGGGGCTGGGGATTTAGTTCAGTGGCACCGCACCTGCCTCACAAGTGCAAGGTCCTGAGTTTAATCCCCAGTACCGGAAAAAAAAAATCATTTCGTGCTTCTTATTTTAAATCCAAGAAGCCCTTTCCAGCCAAGATAAAAGATATGCAAAGTCCCTCAATGTGTGCATATGTATAACAAGGAAGACCTGTGCCCACTGTGCTACAGGGAACCCACTTACCCCCTGAACGTGTCCAGGCAGCGGAAGCGGTAGCCTAAGGCAGACGTACGCTGTGTTTCTGGCTGAGGATCACCAGTGAGTGAGTGTGCCCTGCTGGGGGATCCCAGGTCCTTTAGATGAAAAGAAGAGATGAGAATAATGCTGGGAAATAAATTTAGTTTTATTTCTTTTTATGGTCCTAGAGATTGAATCCAAGACCTCTGCACTAAACTATATTCACAGCCTTTAAAAAAAAAAAAAAAAAAAATTGGGAGCCAGGTGGGGGGGAATGGTCCTAGAGATTGAATCCAAGACCTCTGCACTAAACTATATTCACAGCCTTTAAAAAAAAAAAAAAAAAAAATTGGGAGCCAGGTGTGGTGGTGCATACCTGTAATCCCAGCACTCAGGAGGCTGAGGCAGGAGGATCGCTATGAGTTCAAGACCAGCCTGGGCTACATAGTGAGTTCCAGGTCAGTCTCAACTACATAATGAGACCCTGTCTCAAAAAAAAAACAAAAAAACAAATTGTGGGGGCAACCCACTTTCCAGTCCCTCTTCTCTCTTAGACAGAAGCTATCTTTATCTCAATAAATCTTTCCTACTCTTAAAAAAAAAATTTTTTTTGGAGACAGGGTCTGACCAAGTCTCCAAGTTGCCCAGGCTGGGCTCAAATTTGTAATCCTCCTTCCCCAGCTATAGTGCTGGGATTAGAGAGGTGGGCCACCAAACCCAACTATAAATCATTATCTGATACTGTAGGGAAGAAGTGAGAGTGGAGAGAAATTAGAGTGAACTATGAGAGTAACAATGCTGCCTACAGGATGAAAAATGTCTCCATATCCTACAGCGTAAATGCAGTCCAGACTTCCAGTCTCATTAAAGAAGAGAAAGGGGTGGAACCTTCAGAGACACTGAGAACAAGGCCTGGAGTACAGCTCAGTGACAGAATGCTTGCCTAGCACGTTAAGCCCTGAGTTTGACCCCCAGTACGGTACACACATGCATGCGCACATAAGATCAGGACTTGTGACCTGATCACCCACAATATAAATATTAATGTTTAATGGTGTTTGGAAAAGAATTTATTAAGCTGGACAATAATAATTTCTAAATAGAAAATTATAAATTCCAAATTTAGAAAAACACCCAGACAATACATGATTCAATCTAACAACTCACAGAATTGATGAGATGATCAGTTTCTCGAGAATTTATTGTCTTAGAAACAAAATTCTTAAATTCTTCCAAACTGTAAAAAAAAAAAAAAAAAAACAAAACCTGTTAACTTATTTTCTTTGGCAGAATTTTCAAAATGATTGGATATTGAAATAAAGTTAATTTCAGGTTTATATAACTTAAGGAATTAGACATTCTGAAAAAAATTTAACAACATAAAAATAGAAATCAATTTATAGCAGCCATCCTTGTACATGTTCAACCCTTAAAGTATAATTTCCTCAACAAAGCAAGAATGAGTAGAGCTTTAATAAAAAGTTGTGAAGGTTAAATAACTTCTCTGTGACCAGGTATCTTATTACTATTAAAACTATTAAAAAAAATAAACTGGCAATAACCAAATTCACTAAACGTAGGAATGACTCAAGATAAGATATATTCTGACAGTTGTATCATAAATTACAAAAATAATAAGAATGTAGACTGATCCAGTTGTAGTGGCATGCACCTGGAATCTCAGAATTGGAAGGAGGATTGCCAAATTTGACCTCAGTCTGGGCAACTTACTGTGACCCTATATCAAGAAAAAAAAAAGAGGTTGAGGACATAGCTCAATGTAAAGGCTGAGTTCAATCCCCAATACTGAAACAAAAAAAAATCAGACTTTGTCCACACAAAAAAAGCAAAAACCAGTTAGTTGGACAAAAGGCTAAAAAAAAGCAGGAGCATCAGAAGTCTGAGGCTGGCCTTGAAAACTTAGTGAGATCCTGTCTCAACATAAAATGCAAAGGGTTAGGGATCACTTGCCTAGCGTGCTTGAGGACCTGAGTTCAATCCTCAGAACAATCAAAAGGGAGGGGCCTACATCTATCTGTGTTTGATTGCCACAAAATAAAAATGAATGTGAATGTATGTACACTGAGAAAGTACAAAAGCAACTTTGCAGTGATTATAGTAATTCATGACTGGGTTTTTTTCATATGACTGATTTAAATTTTAAAAATCTAGATAATATTAAATTGATTTACAGTAAGTCCATGACTTATGAACATTCAAGTTGAGAACTTTCACAGGAGTACCATGTAAGATTCACTTTGTCAGCTTACGAACACATCCGACTTACAAATGTTCTCCAGAACAGAACATGCTTGTAAGTCCGGGACTTAACTGTATATGATTGACAAAGATAAATACATTAATTGATTATTCTTTAAAAAGAGATTTCTAGGGCTGGGGATTCAGCTCAGTGGTTCTGCCACCTGCCTGCCTCACAAGCTCAGGTTCCTGAGTTTGATCCCTGGTATCAAGATTAATTAATTAATTAATTAATTAAATTTTTAAAAGAGATTTCTAAGTTGGGGGAAGATCTTTCAAACAGTATATGTTAGTTAGCCTGGCAAAAGTCAACATATTTTGCATTAACTTTGTCACATCTGAATTATCCAACGCACAGAATCCGTGCCTCCTCTTCGTTTTGTCATGAAAAGTTTCAAGCACGAATAGAGGTAGAAAAACTCGTATAATGAACCACCATCACTCAGCTTCAACAAATACCCATCCATAGCCATTCTTATGCCACCTGTATTCCCACATTACCTTGGCCAGATTATTTTATAGAAAATCCCACATCATATCATCTATACTATAGTATGTATCTCTAAAAGGACTCTTTTCATTTCTAAACATAACTATGACAGTCACAATCACATTTTTAAATGTTAGCAATAATTCCTTAATATCATATAACCAGGTCAATTTATCTTTCTCATGGGGTTTTTCTAACAGTTCAATTGTTCAAAATCAATATTCAAACATAATCCATCCAATGTGTACATTTATAATTTCTTCTTCCCTACAACTCCCATTTCTACTTTACTCAGCATTGATAACGTTAGCATCACATGCAAAAGATTAAAATAGACATACTTAAGAATGAAAAGGAGAAGTTAAAATAAAAAACAAAGCAAAAGCCCCACTACATTCTTTTGCACATGTTTGTTCTCAAGTGAAAGGAAGGGAGATTCTTCTGCTTTTTCTGGTTCAGACCAACAGGACTTCCTTGGACATCCATAGGTATGTCAGGAAGCTATGGGCAGGGAAGGAGGGACTGAAGCTCTTCTGACAACAGCGCTCAGCCCCCAGGCAGGAAAGGCAGAATAATATGCAAGGAGAGCTCAATTCCACAGCGGTGCTAAGATTGAATTTCTTCTCTTTGCAAGTGTGTGGTCACAGCCATCAATTACTTTCAAAAATGATGGAACGGATCTAGTCACATGAACACCAAATGAAAGCTTTAACACACTGGACTGGAATAGTAAGACTGACAAAGTAACACCTAACCCAAAGAAACAATTCCTCTGCTAAAATTCTACTCTGATCCTGAGAGAGTGGCTTATGGCAAGTAATTCTTTTATCCTTATATATAGTCAAGTTACCCATACATAGAATTACACTACCCCTAAGGTGTACAAAGCCAGTCAAAATGCATAAACTCCCCAAAGTTTCAAGATAGGCTATATAAAGGTTAAGTTTAGTTCTTCCAGTTTGTGTCTGTGCTGCTGAAGCGAGCACAGTTCTTCCAATCTGGATACAGCTCACCAATAAAACCTGTGGCCCTTCCTGAGACCCTACCAGGATGATGAACATAACAAAACTCAGTCCAGTCTCATTCTTTTTAAAGCATAGAAGAACTTCCCTCTGAACACTGACTAAACCAAGACTGAATCTATATTTTTTTCCTAGCTTATTAATTGACTGACCAGAATGACTGTTAACCGGGCAGAAGAAGAACAAATTCCCTTTGCAAACTGCCTCACTCTGTCCAAATGAGAGGAGTCAGCACTGCAGATGTGAGGCCAGCCCTTCAACTTCTGTCTCTGCCACCAGATTCCAGTGATGTCATGAAACGAGAGAATGAGGCTAAGGGGTGACCTCAGAGGCAAGGAGATGGAGGAGATTACAAGTCACTCCCACTCACTAAATAGAATGAGAGGTTCTTTAGGAAATAATTCTTTCTCCAGCACTTTCTTCATTTTCAGCCATGTGGGAAAAAGGCAAAGATCCACTAAAACCTTATCTTTTTCCTATTCTCAGAGACCATGTTTTAGTCTACAGTAATTCTCTAATACCTAGGACTTGAATAAACATCATGGAAGTATACAAGTTAATCAAAGAATAGTGGTCTTTTTTGATTTGGGCGATACCATCTGGACAGAATAATAATCACTTGAATCTCTGTGTTCTACTTGCCCCAGTTGTGTCCTCCCCAGCACCTTACCTCAACAAGAACCTTAGGAAGGATATTGCAATGATGAGCACTAGACCAACAATGAATGAGACCCAAACAGCTAAAGAAAGAAAAGAACATTATCACCAAATATGTCATCATAAGCATCAATATTGTCAATGTATTACATTTAATCTACCAATGAAAAATGAAAAGCCTACATTCTTATGTTAAATTACCTGTGAATAACTAAAAATATTTCATGAAGAGGATTAATTTTTATTATGAAAAATGGCAAAAATACACAAAAGTACAGAAAGTTATACAATAAACCCACATGAGCCCATCATTCAGATCCTACAGTTATCAAGGAATTGCTGGGCCAGGGATTTAGCTCAGTGGTTCCTTTGCCTGCCTCACAAGCACAAGGTTGTGAGTTCGATCCCCAGTACCAAAAAAGAAAAAAAAAAAGATATTGCCATTCTTGTGGCGGGAGTATGGTCCAGTGGCACAGCACTTGCCTAGCACGAACAAAGCCCTGAGTTCTAACCCCAGCACCAGAAAAAAGAAAAACAAATGTTTTCACTTATTTCATTTATTACTAACTCTGTCTTTGTTTGACTAACGTATTTTAAAACAGATCTTAGACATCATATCACTTTCTCCCTCACATTCTTCTATAAGCAGCTCTGACCTTGTAATGTAAAAGGCATACTAACTTCCTGTGCCTCCCAACACAGTGCACTACAAAGGACACAATATACCTCTTGAAGGATTCCACCCAACAAAAAAACCTCTATAAAATAACCACTCTTTGAAACTATTAAAAAAATACAACTGTACAATCATGAAAGATGAAGAAAGTGTGAGGAAATGTCATAGGCTGGAGGAGATGAAGGATATCTGAAAGCTAAATGCAATGTGATGTCCTTGAGTGAACTCTAGACTAGAAAACGTAGACTAAAATGAACAATTTAAGAAATTTAAATAGTTTATAGACCAGTGTTGTACGAACGTGAAGTTCCTGGTTTCAGTAATAGTGTATGGGATAATTGTGTTCTCATTATACAGTTACAGGGCATAAGGGAAGCAAGGCAAATGGTATTTAGGAACTCTTTCCTTGAAAGCTATTTCAATATTGAAAACTTCTTTAAAATAGGCCTGTCATTTAATCACAATGTCATACAAAATTAACAATAATTCCCTCACTAATACTAAGGAGGTGCCAGTGTGGAGCTGCGGAAACCTGGACCCCCTTCAACGTAAAGTTCCCCTTTCAGCTGACTGGTGTTGCTGCAAAATATCCTGCCATTCCGCCACACAGGGTGGACTTCTCTAAAGAGTTGACCCTCATCAGCTAGGACTATTCAGTTACCCTGATTTACATTAAGACAGGAAAAGCAGGATAAATCTTTAACTCTCTCCTTACAACTAACAATTATAAATTAGCAGGGTGTGGTGGCGCATGCCTGTAATCCCAGCACTCGGGAGGCTAAGGCAGGAGGATCGCGGTGAGTTCGAGACCAGCCTGGACTACATAGTGAGTGCCAGTGAGTCTCTACTACATAGTGAGACCCTATCTCAAAAAATAAATAAATAAAGTAAATCACCACAAACATCAAGGGCTCATTATTCCCAAAGGTGACTCAAATATTGCTTTTGTTTTTGTTTTTACTTGTAGAGAATGGTTTCACTCTTTCTAATTTTATAATGACCCCATGGTTTTTATATATTCATATTTTTATCAAATATATTCATTATTCTTTTCAATGCTTAAACTATCCCATTTTGGCTCTTTCATATTGACTCCTACATTCTCTTACAATAACTTCAGACTTGGGCCGGGGATTTAGCTCAGTGGTTCCAGCGCCTGCCTTGCAATCATAAGGACCCGAGTTTGATCCCCAGTACCAAAAAAATAAATAAATAAAATAACTTCAGACTTTAATAGTGCTCTATAAACAGTCTTACTCATGACACAGGGATTCACTGCTGCCCCCTGCAAAGCCACACCCACAGTACTATCCAATGGGACTCAGAGTGACAGATTTTCTTCAGCAGAGTTATCAGACTGCGGAGGATCCTTCTGGGCTGGCTGTCCATGTGAGACACAAAGGAAAGTCAACTGTCCTATTTCTAATTTCTTTCTACTGCTTTAACTTTTTTATTTATCCTTTATAGTAAAGCATAGTAACAATATTAGAATATATTAAGATATATAATTTTTGACAAGGTAAATTTCCAAAAGGGAGATTACTGGATAATTTTACTTTTTATACATCAATGACACAATGAATATATTATATATTGGGTAAAGCCATGCTTAGCTAGCTTGATCCCCAGCACCAAAAAAAATGTAATTATACCATGACTAAATAGTATAGATAATCTATAATCTAGCATTTTTTTTGTCTTTTTTTTTTTTTTAATACCAGGGATCGAACTCAGGACCTTGCACTTGCAAGGCAGGCAGCGGAACCACTGGGCTAAATCCCCGGCCCTTATAATCTAGCTTTTTAATTATAAAAAGAACCACAGACTGCTCTCTAAAGACAGTAGTCAAAATCTGAACTCTTTGAAAATGCTAATTTAAAGTCAATAAAGAACATGTACATACGAAGGTTACTGTCAACTGGATTCTTATTAACAACCAGGTCACAAGCAATTTCATCAACTCCATTGTGAGTGTCCTTTACCAAGAGAGAATAGTTTCCAAATTCTCCAAATTTGTATTCCAACCTATAGAGATTAGGCACAATTAAGACTAAGTGTTAGAGTAGGACATCAAGAGTTGGACTTACTAATGTCATAAAGGCAGATGGATATGCATACCTAAGTGCAGATCAGGAGAAATAAAGAAAAATAGTTTAGCCATGCATGGTGGCTAACACAGGAAGATTGTGAGTGTGAGGCCAGCCTGGTCTATACAGACCCTGTTTTAAAGAAGGGGAGAGGAGGGAAAGAGAAGGGAAAGGAAGGACAGGGGAAGAGAGGGAAGGGAGAGAGAAAAAAGAAGGATGGGAAGAAAAGGGAAGAGAGGAAGAAGAGGATGCGAGGAAAGAAAGGAAGGTGTTTTAAAGACAGGGAAAAACAAAATCATACAGAAAAGAAAAGCAGAGACAGGGCCAGGGATTTAGCTCCGTGGTTCTGCCACCTGCCTCGCAAGCACAAGGACCCAAGTTCGATCCTTGGTACCAAAAAAAGTAGCAAGTACAAACCTACAAACTTCCCTCTCTTCTGATGTATTATTAATTTGAAGAATGGAGCCGTGCTGGGTACTGACAGAGACGGATGCAAAGGCTGGCTTCCCAGGTTTTCTACCATGAGAAACATTTACCAGAAACTGGAACAAGCACTAGAAGACAAAAACACAATAGGAAAACTTTCAGAGTTTTTAAACTTTGATTTTTTGGATTCTTTGGCTGTGCTGGGACTCAAACCCAGGGCTTTGAGCATGAAAGGCAAGCACCATACCAATGAACTACAATCCAGTCCATTAGGGGCTTTTGAAAGTCTGTCAGCTGTACAGCCAGGCACGCTGGCAGCTAGCCTGTAATCCAGGAGGTTCCTTGTCCATTCAAGGCTACCCTGGGCTATGTGGTGAGTTCAAGGCCAGCCTTAACTATAATGCAAGACCCAGTCTCTAAAAACAGAACAAAAAAACTACAAAGAAACCCTCAGTTGTTGAAAAACTGAATACTCAACTGAAGATATCTTTTTTTTTTTTTTTTTTTTTTTTTTTAAAGACAGGGTCTCACTATGTAATTGAGGCTGACCTGGAACTCACTATGTAGCCCAGGCTGGTCTCAAACTCACAACAATCCTCCTGCGATAGCCTCCTGAGCGCTGGGATTACAGGCATGCACCACCTTGTCCAGCCTCATCTGAAGATCTTGATGTGACTGTTTTCTTATACTCATAAAAACCTTGAAAATTAGCGCAAGGTCCTAAGTTTGATCCCTGATACCAAAAAAAACAAACAAAAAAAAAAAACCTTGAAAATTTCAGTAACTCAGATAAAATGTACCTATGATTTTATATTAAAACAATGACTGGCTCACTATGGAACTGATTAATCTTTTATTTTCCAGGAAACGTTTCAAATTAATTAATATAGCTTACATTCATTCTTTCACCTTATTGCTTTAATTATTTTGCAAATAAATTTCCATGAGTCTAATTTTCATATTTAACAATATTCATTATATTTCATCAACTACTGTAATTGTGGGTACTTAGGCTAATTTCAATGCTCTCTGCCGTTTTTGTAAATATGTAAATATAGCCAGGCATGTTGGTGCATACCTGTAATCCCAACACTCAGGAAGCTGAGGCAGGAGGATTACTGTACTTCAAAGTCAGCCTGGGCTACATAGTGAAACCCTGTCTCAAAAAATTAAAAAGTAAATAAATAAAGTGTAAATACATTGTTTTAAAAGATCAACATTCTTTCACTTCTTTTCCTAAGATAAATTTCCAAACAGGAGATTACTGGATAAGCCTAACAATTTTAACGATTCCTGTTAAAGTGGTCAAATATTACAATAAGTAAAATTACAATGTATTAATTTTTCTATAACCTTACCAGGATCACTTTTCATTTTGTTCACTTACTAGATATTTATATCACAGCCTTAATATTACATTTTAAATTATCAGTGGAGTAAATAATTCAATATTTTGTTATTTTTGTCTCCTATGGCGTGCACTATCAGTCTGATCTAAAGTTCTAAGAACACAATCTTAGAATATCTACCTCAAAAATTTCCCCATTCTAGTGCTTTCCTTCTTTCTTATATTGTTTGCTATACATAAATTTTTATATAAATATACTAACCTGGCTTGTTTTTTTCTATTGCTTCATTAGTTTAAAAACATACTCTGTCTTTTTTAGTTGTAGTTATATAGTTAGTGGGTTACATTTCTTAACTTGAAACCTCTTGGAATGTTTGAGAGATGATGTGAAGTAATTTTAAATGTTTGTTCCTATCTTTAGTCATAACACACTTTTTAATTTATATAGATTCCACAAAGACATTGATATATTATCAGCAATTACATTAAATATATGAATTAATTTGGAAAGTACTACCATTTTTCCTATTAGTCTTCATATCAGACTGTGTTGGCTATCCATTTAACCCAGATACTTTGTTAAATTTTTATTATTTTCTTTATATTTGACATTTACATAACCCTCAAGCGAAAAAACTGTCACAAGTAAATCTTTTAATATGCTAACTTACTGATAAAATTCAAAATTTTGCCAGATTTAAGATTAATACTCAATCCATTCTGCAAAACAAATCTGACAGTCAGACATCTTTTTTTGTTGTTTATTGAGTCCATTTATATAGGATAAGAATTATTTTTAAATATAAAAAAATTAGATGGGAAAATTTGTCACAACTTTCCAGATTTTTTAATCAGTTTGTAATCTATTTTCACAATTTCTTGAATCAATTTTCATATTTTTTTAAGATTATCATGGGGAGGGCCGGTGATTTAGCTCAGTGGTTCTGCCGCCTGCCTTGCAAGTGCAAGGACCCGTGTCTGATCCCAGGTACCAAAAAAAAAAACCCCAAAACAAAGAATATCATGGGGAAACTTGGGACTGAACCTAAGGCTTCACATATATTAAGTATGCAAGCTACCACTGAGCCCACTCCTAATCCAAGAAAATCAGTACTTGAATGTCAAATTTATCATCTTAACTATTCATCAAAAGTATAATTATTTTCAAGACGGACCTACCTCACTATGTAGCCCTGGCTGGTCTCGAACTCACAGCAATCCTCCTGCCTCAGCCTCCCAAGTGCTGGGATTACAGGTTTGAGCCACCACGCCTGGCATTCATTTTAGTTGATATATTTATCTTAATTTCTAATTTTCCTAATTTTCACTGCTGCCTTAAATTTATCAATTGTATGACTTTCAGGTTAAAAACATCATGTATCTTTTTGTTTGTTTGTTTGTTTTTGTTTTTTGAGATAGGGTCTCACAATTTAACCCAGGCTGGACTGGAACTCATGGTACTCCTCCTGTCTCTGCCTCCCAAGTGCTGGGATTACAGAGCAGTATGCCACCACATCCAGCTCCAAAAGTATCATCTCTTGATTCTTATTTCAGGTCTCTCATTTCTAATTTACATATTTATTATTTTATTGATTCCTTTTGGATGCCTATACTGCTTCCCAAAACTCTGAGATCTCTACTCAAGAGTCTTGCATTTCTTTTTCCTTTTGATTAACAAAGAAGAATTTTTTTTAAACAAAACATTTACTGGTACATGTTAAATATATATAATGGTAACATTCATCACAGGGAAGTGTACTTTTTTTTTCATCCCACCTCTTTGACCCCTGACCCCTAAGGAGGGGATGAATTCACATGCTGCCAACAGCTAGGTGACTCAGGAAAAAAGTCATCAAGTTTCCCTTAATCTCAGTAACACCTGGACTGTTCTAAGGACTCAATGAAATATACATAAAATACAGGGCACAGCCACAGTCAAGAGTGAGTACAACTTCAATTATGGTCACTTTCACTATTATAAAATTTTCATAAGAATGGGTTTGAGAGTTCCAGGAACATGGTGGAGCAGCTAAGCAGCAACAAATCAACCTCTCTGAGACTCAGAATCATCCAGACACTGGAGAATAACAACTTGGGGAAGAAAAGGAAGGAAGGAAGTGGATCCCTGAGATCTAGGAAGGATATGAAGGGAAAACTGGGGAAGTCCAAAACAAAGTGAAGAGACAGTCTTCAACACAAAAATTGGAGAGGTAATCTGCACTTTCTCCCCAGCTCCCAGCTTGTGATGTGAGAGAAGAGGATCAAATCTCCAGAGACCTTCAAAGAGAAACACACCAGAGGAATATAGCAATGGATACTGTGCCCTACAACAGCAATAT